AATATTTCTTTATTATAAACCATTTCTTTAATTCTTTCTTTGGGAATTGTCCTTTTAAAAGCAATTTCACTTGGATACACTGATCAAATATAAATTTGATTATAATATAATCAATATTTCTCTATCTATCAGCAGTAATATATTTTTTAAATCTAATTCAGCCTTAATGTTTTAAGCTTATAACATATCAAATCGATCTTTAAAATTTATTAAATCATAAAAAAATAATAGAGACATATCAATTATTAAAGGATATTATCATATATTTGAATCACATATTTATTATTTACTATTATATTATTGCTTCTTCCAGTTTTGCATAGATTTTCAATCTATAACTAAAGTTATATTACTCTAGTACAAAAAAAACAATACTATTTTTTCAATTATTCAATAATTTAAAGAAAGTTAAAACTTAACTTATGACAAAATATTTACTCTTTGATCTATTATTATTATTTTATCTAACTATATTAATATAAAAAGTATAACCAATAAAATAATCGTAACTTATTTGTTTAAAAAAATCAATAATAGAAAGCTATTTTTTGACTTTTCTAATTTATCAAATAAAATTTGAACTATAATAATAAATAAAATTGAGACTGTTAATATAAATATAATAAACTAATGTTATATTTCTATAAATCTTATATCTTTTTTTCCCTTATATATAAATAAATAAATTAAAGTCTCCTATATTCACTTATTAAATATTATTAAAATCTTGCCAAAGCAAAAAACATTAAATTAGAATTCCTGAAAAAAAAAAACTTAACTAAATTATTATATAATATTTCAACTTTATCACTTTTACTTATTAATACAACCAATTGTAATTCATTCCTAAATATTAATAGTAAAATAGGTACTAATATTATATATTGAATCAAATTTATTAATAACTCTTGCAATCTGATTGTAGCTATTTTCAGTACTGAATTTATAAATAAATTAAAATTACTTAAACTAGCAAACAGACAATATTAATCTAGTAATGAAATAAAATTCAGAATTCTAGTAACCTTTAAAACAAAATTACTTCTCTATTCTTTACTTACAAGAGTCAAACTCGATAAATGATATCCACTATTCTATTTAAATCCTAAATGTCTCAGATATGATTATTCCATAAAAAATCAACTCCATATTTTCACATATAGTGAAAATTACAAATACTTGAATCAAAAAGCAAAAAAACTTATCATTTTCTTCAAAGATCTAGTTAACAAGCAAACAATAGAAAGCTTCTTAACATGCAACGCCAATTACCTTTATTAGTTTAACAATGGAACTATACTACTCAAGATAGCCCTAGAAGCCTTTAATCAATTCTTTAATTAACTGAACAAAATGGAACACAAAGCACAATTAAGCAATAAATCCCTCAAAATTCTTAACAAATATAATCTGTCATGGAAAGTAAATCACAATAGGTTATAGTTAATTTACAATATAAAGACTATTAATGTCAAGCTAATAAATTAATTTTCTAATAAAAGCTCACATTTAATGCTCATTTGTGATAATAAATAAATTTTCTCCTATTTTTCGCATTTTTTTAACCTTTGCATTTTTTCGCATTTTTTCGGGCATATAAGTCATAAAGGGTATACAGTATTTCGGCATATATAATAAATTACCGCACGCATATTTTTGATTGGCCAACGATATGCTACCATGACTAATTTATTGACATGTTTTGATCCGCTTCTGTCAAGCACGTGAATAAGTGTTGTGATACCTGTATAAAAAATTCTTCGTTTTGCTAAATTTACGTTTTGAATATTATTTAGTCAGGTGAGTTGGCTAGCTATTTTCTACTCTTTATAAGCCATAACTTTTGTTAGCAAGAAGGAAGCGTCTGCGACAGAGGGAGACTGTCGGAAGCCAGCAATGGCAAGTCGTCGTAATAGTTGATGGCCGGCTGACTTTTTCGCTTAAAGTTATCGGAGGGTTGTTTAACAAATAAGGCGTCTGCGACAGAGGGAGACTGTCGGAAGCCAGCAATGGCAAGTCGTCGTAATAGTTGATGGCCGGCCTTATCTGAAGAACAACTGCTTTGATTTTTTATCTCATTTGCTTTGATCAACAATATACTTAAAATTTTTTTCTATTTTTGAGCTGATAATGGGAAAATCAAAATCCTCACGCGACATAAAAAGAATATCCCAGCAAGAACGCCACGTCGACTGGATGTTAGCTTGTCCTGATCCAACTCCACTTGCATTTTTTCGATTTATATTTCCATCTCACCGAATTAAAGCATCTGAAAAGTATAAGAAGGCGCTCGACTTTGCTTTTAAGGAAGCCGTTGATGAAGAGTCGCGTAATAAGTTCGAAGAAATGAAAAAATCAGTCAATGTACGTAATTTAATGAAGTGCCAATTTCTTATATCTAACTCTGTGTTCTCTTTTGTGACAGGATGCAAAAATTTTAGAAGATTGGGAAACATGGATGCAGCAGAAAACAGCGGTATATCCAGTTAATGACTCTTAGATGGTTTGATTTAATATTGACAAATCCATATATAGATTTTAGTTCGTCGTGGTGTACGTAATACCAATCTTAATCTTCATGAGGAGATAAACGCGTTGTCATTAAATAAGGTAAATTAGTCATTTCTCAAACAAATTAAAAGGCTTTCAATGAGTATGCTTAAAAAAAAGGTTGGGTAATTTTTATTACAGGATGGGTCATCGGCAAAAAACATGAAATCTGATCCAGATTCGGACACGAGTGAAGATCTAGAGGAAGAAGATCAGGAAGAAGAGGAGTCTGCAGATGAGATCGAGAAATTCTTTATGGGCAATGAAAAGATTCGTAACGATATTACCAGCAACGATATCGGTAATATTAACTTCGTGGAACGTATGGAAGAACCCAAACTAATGTCATTAACCTGTCAACGTCAGTGGGTCCTCCATAGTGGTGCAAACGTAGGAGATAAATTGGCAAGTTACGTCAAGACAATTCCTGAGAACCAAAAATGTTTGAAGTAGGTTATTGATAGATAATATAGACGTTAGTGATGTTTTTTTTTTTTAATTATGAATTTTTTTTCACTTATAGCCTCGCATATTGGAATATACTTGATTTGACCGAGAATACCCAAATAAAATCTCTTTTCTCGACGAATGACTGGGAAGAAATGGTTGAAAGTTTCAATAATGAAGTTAAATTGATCGAATCGGATTTTCTTGATGTGGTAGAGTATTTTTTCGATGAAGTTGAAAAAGTAAGTTGAGAGAAAATATTTGTCTTGTTTCAACAGCTTAAAAATGTTGCTGACTCAAACAATTTAGATTACAAAAAAAGATGATAAAGATATTATCAACGCGATCGATAGATTAACCCCGGAAATTATTGAAA